AAAATACCATCTCAACTCCAACTCTATGGCTTAGACTTAGACACAATTGCAAAAAAGTTTGAGAGACTGTAGACTGATTAACACCATTAAGGACAATATTAATTTAAACAGCTTCACTGAGGCTTTAAAAGAAACATTCAACTTCATTTCAAGTGTTTCCCTTTAACACTGTTTGACAAATGACCTTCACGTCTACACACAGTAGAGATGAGAACATGCCCAACCTTCTGCCTAAATGAATCACTGCTGTAGTTCTGCTGCCCCACACCAGCAGCACAGATGTTCACGGTTGCCTTTCTCTTACAACTCAGTCGTGGGCAACAGTCGAGCCATCAATCAGTGTCGTACATGCATATGTGCAGAGATAAATCACTACAGACATGTAGATCGTAAGCTGTGCCGTAACTGCATGTTTGTAAACATTACACCATTGTACCTGAGCTTGCACGGACTGCAGCTGTTTCTCCAGGTTGCGTCTTGCCTCCTCGTCCTCCTCCTGCTGCTCCAACAAGGTGTTCTTCTCCACCTCCAGCTGGCGGATTTGGCCGCTCAGATTCAGCTTCTGGCGCGTTTCCTCCTGCCTCAACTCCTGAAGTACCAGAGCACAAACGGAGATGATGAGCAGACAAAACATGGAGGAAAGTTGTGTTTTTTTTTTACAAAACTATTTTATTGAACTGAAAAGTTTCTTAGACACAAATAATTACTTTCATTTTTTTAATGTAAAATACTTCAAATAGTGGGATCTGCAGTAGACATTAGAATATGTAACATGGTCGACGTGTAAAGGTTTATATTTTATCTATACTGAGTTGCCTTACTAAAGGTTTTAATGATACTATTTAAATGTAGGATACATGTGGCCATTTATTTGAAGCCATTTCTGATTTTATACTTTATTCTTTTTTCCTGAACACTTCTCAACACCAGGTTGTTTTGTGTCAGACCTCAGAGTCTTGCAGTTTGCTGTTCAGGTTTTCGACTTCCTTGGTCAGTTTGACTCCTTTCTTCTCCGCCTCCTCCAGCAAAACAGAAACGTTGTCCAGCTCAACCTGATAAAATAACAAATATGAACAAAAGACATGGAGCTCATTCTGCCTCATTCAAATAAAACAAAATACTGCAGCACTTTTCTAGTGTAATACTGGTGACGATACTGACCTGGAGTTTGTTTGAGCGATCAGCCAGCTCTCCCTTTACTCGCTCCACCTCAGTGGTCTTGGTCATAAACTCCTGCAGCTGGGCCTCCACCTTTTTCCTCTTGTGTTCAGATTCTGTCTTTGTCTGCTGCAGATTCTTGATCTCACAGCTCAGCTCTCTGTTGTCACTCTCCAGACACTGCTTGTTCTTCTCCAGGTTGGTCTTGAACTACAGCAACATAACCACAAAAATACTTTAGTGTCACTGTTAGCGTAACTTTTTTTTCAAGACCACCTTATCTTTTGGACAAGAGCTTTTGGACTGAATCTTGCCTGAAAAATTTGCAAGAACTTCTTAGAACCAGTTTACAGACCATGTATTAAACCCCCTCACCCTCTTGGCCTGTTCCAGCTGCTCGGACAGTTCTTCCAGTGCAGTGGCATGTCTCTGTCTCATTTCCTGGACCTGTGCCTCATGGTTTTTGGTTTCTTCATCGATGGCCTTCTTCAGTTCTGCCACCTCCTGCTCTCTCTTGGTCCTGGGGTTCAGACATTAGGTAGAAGGTCAGAAGGTGAGGGATAAAAAAACGAGAGACTATGAACCTGTGATAAACATTCACCTCAGTTCTTGCTGGGCAGCTGTGGTGTCCAACGTGTCCTCCAGTTCTGTCTTCAGAGCCTCCAGCTCTTCACTCAGGTCTCTCCTCAACTTTTCAGCTTTGCTTCGACATATCCTCTCAGACTCCAGGTCCTCCTGAAGCTCAACAAGCTGGGCTTGAAGCTCCCGCACCTGCTTCAGGGTGTTGTTCTTCTGTATGGCCTCCTCGTCACCCCTGGTTGGAGACAGACATTTTGAAAAAGACTTCACAAAACAGATTCTTTAGAATAAAACTGCAGTACCCTTTAATATTATACACATATTATTATATTGTAAATATTTTCTTTATTTTCTTTTAATTATTTGCTCTAATGCTTCTGCAGTACCCTTTAGTATTATATTGTAAATATTTTCTTTTAATTATTTGCTCTAATGTTGGGATTTATTCGTATCACAAACATTACCTGGCCAGAGCAGTCTGCAGCTCCTCCTCCTTCTTGGTCAGTTGGATCTTCAGCTCCTCTACTTGGACCTGAAGTTCAACTATCTGGTCCTGCAGGTCAGAGGTCTCAGCGTCCAGTTTGCGTTTGGCCTTCTCCAGCTCTTGGCGGGTTTTTTCCTCTTTCTTTAAACGCTCTGAAGAGAGACAGCAAAGATTTCAATTTTGAACAACGTTTATAAACCAATCCCAAACATCGCACTGACGTCTACATTTTAAACGATGTAGTACTGCTGTCATAACTTGTCTACTTGTATCTGTGTGTTCTAGATTCAACCACAGATCCTCACCCTCCAGGTCAGTCATCATCATCTCCTGCTTGTTCTTCACTTTGCTGAGGTTCTTTGCTTTCTCCTCCTCCTCTGTCAGCTGTGAGGTCATCTCACCAACCCTGTCCTCCAGCATCTTCTTCTCCTGTGTGATATTATTTATATGTACATTAGAAAGCTGATGATGGCAATGGAAAAAGTCACACATTCTGTGTTCTCACTGCACACCCGATAAGTACAATGCACTAACCTTGAGGAACTTAGAGTTCTGGTCCTCCAGCAGCAAAATATCCTCCTCCATCTTCTTAATTTTGGCCTCAGCTGTTACTTTGTCCAACTGTAGTTTCTGTCTTGCAGCTTCTTCTTCATCCAGCTGCTCCTCCAGATCCTGTGGAGAAGAGAAGGGAATTCTGTAGATAAAGGCAGTTTTTAAAATGGCATTTTTGTAAAAATATTACAACAAAAACTGAAGGACAATAGTCTGTCAAAAAGACAGACTATTAAAATAATTTAAACCTGTATGTGTGATTGCATTTTCTTCTTCTCATTCTGCAGGCTTTGGTTCCTCTCCTCTTCCTCCTCCACCCTTGACTCCAGGTCATGAAGGATCTCCTCCAACTCTTGTTTCCTAGAGAGAAGGCGAACTCTCATCTCCTCTGCCTCAGCAAACAGCTCCGTCTCTGCGTGGAGTTGCTCTGCCAGAATATTCTTTTCCTCCAGAAGCTTTAAAAATGGAAAATTATTATATCAGTCTTTTTTACTAGGTATACATAATTAACTTCTCATAAGAAGATGTTTACCTGTTGGTGTTTTCTCTCCATCTCCACTAACTCATTCTCCACCTTCAGCTGTCTCTCCTTCACCTTAACCAGCTCCTCATCTTTGGCCTGCAGCTCCTCCTCCTGCCTGGTGACCTGCAGCAGAGGTTTCACCTGCAAAAACACAGAAACACATTTAAATGAAATAAACTGTATTACTGTTGTAAAGAAACATGTTGAAATTAGATTTCAAACATAATTTTCCTTCATCAGAAAATGCCACCAGGTGTCTCACCTTGGTGAAAAGCCTCCACCATTGCCAGTGTCGTAGTTTCAGGTAAGCAGCACAGTTCCTCTGAAGGACCTTCAAGGCACTGAGCTGCTGCTGCTTCTTGGCAAATGCTCTGAAAAATACACATCAGGGGTAGTGATCAGTGTCTGAACACATGGAAGTAGAAATATATACAATTAAAGGTATCCTGGAACTCACTTGCGTGCCAAGTATCCTCTGCACACAGACTGGAAGTAGATGATGATGTCAGAGATCTTCAGGTCTCTCTCCTCCTCCAGATGAGCCAGGACACCAGTCCTGAAGAAGATCTTGCTCTGACCAATACGGTACAGGTTGGGGTCGAGCTCTAGAGCTCGAATCTAAAAAAATAATAATAAAAAAATAGAAACCACTTTAATACCGGTTTCAAAAAATGGATCAACAACTAGTCAAATACAAAACGATGAATACAAAATAGTTCCCTACCATTCTTTCACAGGCTTGTTTCCCATCCATAAATCCTTTAGGGATTGCATTTGGTGTCAAAATCTCATACCTGTGAACAAGAACAGAAACATGAATGAAATTCCAATTGTTCAAAAAAAGGAAGTAAAACACAATCTGTTTTAAATTGCTAGTTACCTCTGTCTGAACTCCTGAAAGACAATGCGGTTTGGGAAACCCTGTCTGCAGATACGAATCCCCTCCAGAACTCCATTACACCGTAGCTGGTCCAGGACCAGGTGGGGCTCCAGTTTACCAGCCTGATTGTAACAAAAAAAAAACCATAAAAAAAAAACAGAAACCTGCATAAATAAATTTAATTTCTATTTTTACCCTTTTTTCGTGGTTGGGGATGATGCAGCGGACAAAGCTGGGGTTGGTGTTCCTCAGAGTGGCCATGAGCTTGGTGAGCGACTCCTTGTAGAGCTGCCCCACTGTACGGAACATTCCCTTTTTGGTTTTATAGGTTGCCCCGAAAGCTGTCTCATTCATTCCTGCCACCTGGTCCAGGCCTACGATGCGGTCCACTGGCAAAGAAAAGAGGAAAAAAAGAATTGTTGGAGAACAAAGACTTCAAAGAGGAGCAGAGTCTGACTGCAGAACCAGTGGCAGCAAAAGAGGTCACATGATGTAGCTACATGACGAAGTGCACATGGATGAAGGAGACAGAGAAACACTACTGTCAAACAGCACCAGTCAAACAGAGTCAAAGTTAGGACTTTCACCAGCTTCATGAGCCGTCAGCGATGGAGATGAGGAGTGAAGCCGCTACAGCTACGTTCATTATCACTAAGTTATGACCAAGAGGGAAACTGTAACAATGTCTAAAATAAATAAATAAATATAATAAAATACTGTGTAAGGTTTTAAATTTCAGATTTTTGTTATAAATGTTATTTTAGTATTTACCATTAACTATTAACTACCACTAACTTCCGTTTCAATTAATGCCAAGTTCACAGAGAACTTGTGGGTATCACTGGTTTAAACAATTTACAAAAATAGAGAATATTATTAGACTTATCCAATAAATCGTTAAAAAATGCCTCTACAAAGTGACATAGGACATGAGTTATTATGAGTTATAATGAGTCACAGTGTGTTGGAGTATAAGTGCAGTGATGCATAACCTTCTGTCTGGCCCCTTGCACTGAGACATGACATACGCTAGAAGCAACATCTGCTTTCAGTTGGCTCCTAATGTAACTCTATATGTGGATGAGGAAGATGGAAAGTAATGTCAGTAAATATCTCTCAGTCCAGCTTCAAATCCTTCATTTCCTCAAAGACGTGTCATCTGAGGAAATGAAGGAAACAGGCAAACAGACTCCAAACAGCTGAACCAGATCCCAAAGGCTTATGTCCTAACTGTCAGCAGTACAAAGATCACAGGTGACTGGGATACTATTCTACTTGTACTTTTTTGTGATTTAGATCTAGAGAGACTACTGCTTTGGCTGAGATGAGGGAGCCATGCATCCTGGAAGCAAATGGGAGCCACTGTGGCTATGACACACAGGCACTGCCTGAAGCACGAAGTTTAAAGCAAGACCTGGACAAAATACAACATGGCTTAGTTAATACACATTTAATCTGATCATATTCAGCCCCCAAAGCCTCTGAGCAGCATGCTTCCACAACCCAAGACTGTCCATTTTCCACTACTCTTATTTTGCACAGGTCTACCATACAGTACGTGACCCAGTCTTTCACCTGCTGGCTCATCCAGACTAGTGACATTTTCATAGAATGAAGCTCTTTGAATGGTCTGAATATCTACAACACAGAGAGAGACACAGGAAGGGAGCGGGGGGTCAGGGGGGCTGATGTTATGATAAATCTGGGAACCTGTGAACGTACAGGTTGGGACAGCAGAGCCGTTGTTAGTAGTTTCAAGGGGCAGTTGCGTCAACGTACACAGTAGGATCTGAACTGCACAATATGTCTAATTCAAATCATTGAAACTTTGCAGTTTAGAGGCTGTGAGGATTCAAAGAAGCAGCTTCCTACCATCTTTCCAAAGTTCAGCTACGAATTTGTCGGTTGACTGATGAAGGAGGGTGGCAACGTTGTCGTTCAGGGGATCCATGTTCTTCATTAGCCACTCGTCCGCCTTGTAGTCCACCTTAAAAAGTTAAAACACAAATCAGTGAAAATAAGTGAGAGAAAACTAATTTAAAAAAATTAACAATATTAGTTGAATTATAAGTGAAATATTTACATTTTTAATTAAACAGGCCAGTCATTTCCACCACAGTACTTTAAATGACCTTAAAGTATTCTTCTTTGTTGTCCTAGTATTTTACACCTGAGGTTTTATTTTAGTTTTTGTGCATATGCATAATGACTGTTTCACCATTAATCTTTGTGACATTTCAGATATCTTTCCTCACTGCACTGAGCTCAAGAGCCTAAAATTGATTTTTTGACTGATCGTGGTGGAGACTGAACCGGTCCACATAACACCGAACAGATGTGCTCTGCAGTTCTGAGTGAGACAAATACTATGTTCCTTTATTGCTTAACACCAGTGAAGGCTTCCAAACTGACTCAAATGTTATGCTGATGATATTTTAAAATCGTAAATCAAACCAGGGTTCAGTTTTTTCTTCCGCAGGGGAAACATTTGCAACAATTTTATCTTAAGCAACAACTGGAACTTGACAACACAGAACTTTAATATTAAATTATGTCGACACATAATTGGGAAGTAAATCACTTCACAAATGGCCAGTCCTGGCATAACCCTTACTCCCAGTGGTCAAAAACAGTGTAAATGTGTTTCACTGTTTTTATCATCTTACAGATTTGATCAGATTTATCATTCACGTCTTTTTCAGTTTCTTCAGCACAACAATGTACATTTGCCTCTATTCATTATAAAGTAATTCTATTTCAACAATTTCAACACTTCAAGATAAATGAACTTTTCTGTACTTAGGTCATAGCTTGATATTTAATTTGGGTGAATTTCAAGTAAGAAGTAGAGACGTTACGGGTAGGCACACTAGTCCAAAGTAAAGAGTTGAAATCATGCGTCCAGAAACTCTCTGGTCAGTCTCACACAGAAAGACTGCATGTGGTTACGTTTCCACATTCTGCTCTGGGAAAATAAATTCTCAGTGCCTTTGTTTAAAACTGCAGCATTTCACAGTTTTCGAATTCCATCTGTCTTAAATTAGCGCTGAATTATTTACTCTCTGTAAGTCTGGAAGGAAGAACTACAAGATATGGAACGGTATTCATTACAAGACCATCACTCCCGTCCTCATCTTCGTGCCATCAGTCAGACTTGCATGTTTGTGTGCTGATGTGAATCAGGTAATAAGTTTGGGGTTTAGCTTAACACTGCAGCTAAAACAGCTTTAGGCCTGAAAGCTTTAAAAACATGACTTTCACTGAGGAGGTCTACGACAGAAACACACACTGAAGGTGATTTTGAAAGAAAATGAACCAACGTACCTTGCCAGCGTAATGGATGATGCAGAAGTCAGCCTTGTCTTTGAGCTGACGGGGTTTCTGAAACTTGGTGTGCGTGCCCTGCTCTTGGATCAGTTTTTCCACAAATGTCTTGTCTGTAGCTTTAGGGAACCAACACTCTTCATCCAGAAGAGCTAAAACCCCGGGAGGATTTGCCTAAAATAATAAATGATACTCATGAGACATTCTTATGCAAACATTGAAACTGGCACAGAAAATAATTCAAATTATACTTGAATTGCAAAAAAATATTCCAGTAAAAAGTTTCAGACTGACCGGTCTCTCGATGAGGTCGATGCAGGGCTGCAGGTCCAGGCCAAAGTCGATGAAGCTCCACGCGATGCCCTCCCACTGGTACTCCTCCTGCTCCAGGATGAACGTGGTGTGGTTGAAGAGCTGCTGCAGCTTCTCGTTGGTGTAGTTGATACAAAGCTGCTCAAATGAGTTCAGCTGTAATGGGAAAAAAAAAACCCCGAACACTTAATTGTAATATCTTCTCAAAAATAACAGATTGATGTTCTCATTTGTGTATTAGGAAAAATGAAAAACCTGGAAAATCTCAAAACCAGCAATGTCCAGAATGCCGATAAAGGAGGCTCCCTGCCGTTTAGTCCTATCCAGAGCTTTGTTAATGCGATGGACCAACCAGCGGAACAGACGCTCATACGTCGCCTTAGCCAGGGCCTCCACTGCAAAGTCGGCCTGAGGAGCAGAGGAGTCAGTTGACAGAACAAGGTCAGAGAAATCATATGACTCTTAGGAGAGAAAGTTCTAATTTGACATTTATCATAATCTATCCTACACTAACAGACTCCTACGAGTATTGTCCAGTCCAGAAAACAGACAGAACCCTGATCCATGTACCATAGTGACCTACACAGGCTGTACACATTGTCTGGAAATAAACAACTCATAAACAGTATGACGTCTGCACTACATGCATTACTGGACACATGCAGTAAGGCAGTAAATTTGGACCTTGACAGACTTGAAACTGACTTTAATATTACGTTTTCAAACTCAAACAAAGAACAACAACAAAAATAATTACAAAATGCACTGACCTGCTCTTTAGTCTGTGCCTTCTGGACATAATCTCTTCCCACTTTGATTCTTGGTGACAGAATGGCTCTGGTGAACTCCATCACATTCATACCAAGCAAGTGACACAGCTTCTGTGCAGCTGGGAAACCAGGATGGAAAATACATTAGCATAAAAATTAGAATGAAAGACACTGGTGATTTAAAACTGTACAAGTCATTTATTCTACTTCTGACTGGAGAAGTGATTAAATCAGACCAGGATCTTTACTATTGTTTTTGTAACACTAAATTTTGACAATTACATCACTTATCAGGTATTATAATGAAAGAAGTTATACATTGGTCAGACCTAATTGGCCAAGCACTGAATTTACCATAAACCTGTCACAATTCTTGAATTTTAGAATCAAAATTATTGGAAGCGTCCTACTTTACATGGACAAAACTTGTGGAAAAAGGGGAAAACGTAGGCCCTAGCCTGGATCCGCCAAGTCTCAGGAGTGAAAAAACATGTGCTCTGCTTTCTGGCTTTGCTTGTCACAGTGGGAATATTTGGCCAAGCTGCATCACTGGCATTTTCTTGATGTGCCAAATATGCAGATGCCACATGTGGAGGAACTGGAAAGCTGTGCCCTATTTCCTTCTGGAGTAAATCCTCATAATGATGTGGCCTAATGGCAGGTTGACAACACTCTCTGGGAGAGAAGGGACATAAATCACTGGTCTCTCTGTTTAGTGTGTGAGGCACTAGGTGTGAGGAAGAAAGGGAGAGGGCAGGGGTTGAAGAGCTATATGGGAAAAGGAAAAGGAGCAGAAGTGTGACCTGACCTGTGAGGTCAGCGCTACAAGGTAGTGAAGGACATGCAACAGGACTTCTGAGAGTGTGTGTGTGTGTGTGTGTGTGTGTGTGTGTGTGAGAGAGAGATATTTACCAGTATTATCAGGCATAGAGGCCTGGTCAGTGTTCCTCTCCTTTTTGAAGATAACATTACCAAACTGAAGCACAGCCGACACGACCTTCAACATGGCTAAACGTTTAAGAATCCAGAGAAAATGTGATTACTTACAAAGAGTTAGGTCACCGGGCCAAAAAAAGTACAATTTGTGGTAAATCAATGCTCTTCAAATTCAACTGTTAAAGAAGTAAAACAGTTTGAAGTCTAGAATCTAGAAAACAAACCCAGAATCTCCTCATGTGCAAAACTCATGATGTGCATGGCCTCCATGGTCTCATGAAAGTTGTCTTTGTCCTGCTGTCCTGGGATTGGGATGTTGCCATTCGACAGGAAACGGTATTTGTTAAATCCTTCCAAAAGCAAATCGGCTGTGGAATGAAATATGTAGAAAACAAATTAATTAATCAATCAATTCATTCATTCATTAAAAAAAAAAAAAAATCAAAACTATATTTTTATATTTATTACAAAAAGCTAATAAAAACATACCTAATAACAGTGTGTGTTTTAATCAAATGTGACAAACTGTGGTCAGAAACATCTGAAAACATACATAATAACAGAGACAAACTGTGGTCAGAAACATCTGAAATATTTCTAAGAAAAACTAAATGTATTTGCTAACACTGTTAATTAACCATTTTAAAACAGTTTGAAATAAAATTAAAGGTAAACAACATGTGATTGGTTTATTTACATCTGAGATGCTCTCCGGCTCCAGCCAGCAGCTGGTAGAAAATGTGGAAGGTGCGTTCATCTTTGGCTTGACGAATGGCTCTGGATTTTTCCAGTAAATCTGACACAGACGAGTCAAGGCCAAAAAAAAATCTACAGGTTCTTTTAAAATAAAATCTTTAGAGTCAGTAAACACAAACAACACACGTAACACATGTCTTCAAACAACAATTTTACCAACAAAAACAGTGAAATGATGTGGATACAAGTTTCAATATTGGCTCCAACAATGTATCCGGTGACATCAAAGTTAATCCGGATGAATTTTCCCTGTGGAGATAAACATTCAATATTTTACTTATAAAGTGCACAGAACAAAGAAAAGTGGAACAAAATCCCAGACTTCATGACTCGTTTATAACACACACAAACGCTCAACCATCAGACATGCTGACAATATTTTCAGTCCAGGCAGGAAAGGGGTTTTGTGGAAAACAGATTCAAATCTGATAAAACAATGAATCTAGAAACTGGTGAATTTAACAGATTTATTAACCACAGGAAGACTTGTTTTATTCTAGTCCCTGTCTCTCGACGTCACTATCTAAGGCTCTGGTCTCAGAGGCTTTACTACATCAAAGGTATCATTAATGACTAACAGACGGCTGCGTCTGACAACACAATCCGTGGCACTCCTTACAGAAGATGTAGAATGATCAAATACCGCTGTGAGTTTTAACTTTCCCTATTTGTTAGACAAGAATTGGAAAGTCATCTGGGAAGGATGTGGCTTTTACAAACAGACTACCAACACATTTTATGATACTTATTATTTCAAAGGGCACTTACAAATCGGGATGAGTTGTCGTTTTTCACTGTCTTAGCATTTCCAAAAGACTCCAGGATGGGGTTGGCTTGTAAAAGCTGTCGTTCCAGTTCACCCTGGAAAAACAGAGCCATGTTAAAGTCGCAGTTTCTCACCACAACAGAGACACAGAGAAATCCCAAAGGCTACAAAAATTAAATGTGACATTTTGGAATAAATGACAAAACCAAGAAGCATGCAGACAAAGACAAGGGAAATCCAACAGTGTTTCATGTGTTAATTACACAAAGAGAGAAAAAACATGACTGGCCAAGGCAGACAGACAAAGACAGCATTAGGAAACAATTAGAATAATAGGAATCAGATTAGTCAACCTCAACTTTTATATGTAGTTAAGATTCCTAATCTTTGCATAATGAAATTATAATTTATTTCAGTTTTGTACTGAGAGCTAGCAGTGCATAAAATTCTTAAGGCCAATTAATCAAAATTTTTATCTTCAGATAATGCAATTCACAGATAAATTTACCAATAACATCTTCTGTAATTAGTGCAATTAGCTTAAAAGCTACAATCAGTGCTGCAATCTGCAAAATATGCACTGTGAAAATTTCAAGCAGAGGAAGAATGTCTAGATTCAACACAACAAAGTTGTTCCCTGCAAAGTTCACCACTGCAGCTGTGCTGAATGAGCATGTAGCATGCGGTAGCGCTAGTTGCTGTGACAGATTTCTGGAGATTCTTTAAGGTATGACCAAAAGCCAGACAAACATTATATGCCAAAGTGAAACAGCACACATGAGAGACACGTCTTAAACTAGATGCTTTGAGAGGCTAAAATAATAAATAGGCAACATTTACAGATGTTTAAACAGGTGGTCTGCCACGTTTCCATCTCAGCCGCAGTGTGGACTTTGTCAAGACCACAGAATCAGAAATGACCGAGAGAAAAACAATCCCGTCTGCACCCTTATTTCTCTTCCTGTGGGTAAGTGGAATATTTTCCCATTACGTCAAGAATAGCTGCACCCACTTGAGATTTAAGGAGGTAGTTTTCCATGAGAAGGAACCTGAAATGTGATCTGACGGAGGAGAGCATCAGGAGATGCTTTTAATTGAGTTTCTAGGCAGCTGGATTTGAGCAGGACTGAGCCGAAGAAAGACAGCCTGGACCCTTTCCTGTTATCAGAGCCGCTGCAGAAGCCCACAGAGGATTTGAACCAAAACCTTTGTCTCTACATAAATATAGGTCTGTTGCGCAACTGGCAACATCCCTCCATCTGTGTGGTCTGCTGGACAAACGCTGAGCAGATCACAGTCACTAAGGGGGTCCAGCGTGTCAGCATCTGATGTCTGAACCACATTTTTGTATCTGTGAGTGTCCAACAGCAGAAACCTAACAGTGAGAGCAGCCCTTACACAGAGATGGACTGAGCAACTGCAGTGAAACGCAATTAATCAACGAAAAAGAAGATTGAATTTTACATGATCATTCTTCCATTAGTGTATTTTACAGTATGTATTATTTTATTTAAGTTTATAATTACTTGCTCTCACAGAAGTGCCATAATTACCATACACACTCCATATTCTATTGTATTTAATCTCCCTGTTTGGACTAATATTATTAATTAGTAAGCAATGTTTCTAAATCCACAATATATTTGAATGAAAAATTTAAAGTGAAGAGAAAACCCCTGCAATAAAATATCTGTTGACATAAAATAGAATTGTTAATGAACATGTTAGAAAGAAAGAAGCAGCAGAGTGGGTAAAGAATCCCCTCAATACTGTGAGACAAATTAGAAATTACATTCTACTCACATAAAACAGGGGTCCACTCTGCAGAACACGAGGAGATATGATTGATATTATGGAGAAAAGTACACTGCATTACTGTCATTGATATAACCTATAATATAATAACCTGTGATTTAAAGTAACATTTGTATTCATTCAATACTAGTAGATTTAAAAGCAGTATTGTTTTTCACGTTTTTTTTTTTACTGGTCCTTTTAGCAGTTCCTACAGCAGTTCATTTGCCTCAATTTCATCCTATTTACTGCCATCTGTACTGTTATACCTGCAGGTCTTATGCACTCTGCCAGCACATCCATTCTTTTCTGTTGTCGTCATTTTCTCTCCTGCCTGACGGTGTCATCACCGACATGCTCTATCAAACATACCCACTGTTTTTTCCTAATCCTAAACAGGGCAGCCTGGTCTTTTTAACTGTTCCACATACAGTATATGCTGATTGGTGGACAACGCTAGTGAAAAACTACAAGCAGCATCTTCGACTACACCTGCTGTGGGCAGGTCTCACTACAATCTTGTAAACCTTGTCTTGTACTTTAGCTACTATATCTCTGTCACACATCATCTCTGACTTTTAGCATATTAATCTTTACTACTTCAGTTTAGCTGAAGCTGAGTTGGTGAACATTAGTTCCACTCGCATCACTGTTATAGCTTCACATGTATCCTGTCCTGTTCTTGCTGACATTCAATACTCTCCTCTAAAGTGTTGACATGTACCACTGTAGGTTATTTCCCTAGTCTTCAGTCTTCACAGAGCCTCCTGTCTGACCTCATCTGTCAACCTGTCTAACACCATAACAGACTGTGTACCCATCTGTCACTCTGACTTCACAACTCACCACCGATTTGCTGCTCTTGTCCTGTGTCACCCTCACATACTTCTCTGCCACTCCTGACTTCCTAATCTAGCACAACAGTTTTCTTCTTTGGCTGATGTTTTTCTGTATCCACATAGAGAATGTTAACCTTCTTGACCTTCCATTAAACTAACTGATATTGTACTGTGTTAAAAAGACACAGTCTTTGACTCTATATTTACATAAATACCTAGGTATATATTTAAACACATACATATAAAAAACATACAACGAATATTGTAATGTAACACCTAAAAATAACAGTACTAAACATGTAAAAAATAATACATAAAACATGCACATGATTAGGCTCAACTACGTATCAAATACAAAGACTATGAGCCAAACTAAAATATGAGACACCCACACAGTAGAACACATAACGGAGACTCAATCATTAATATACATTCAATTTTTACTTACAACTGAATTCTGAGCCTGACAAAAAAGGAACAAAGAATAGTATTGAAAGTGCATTCAGGTACAAAAGCTAATTTAATTTTAACCACTGCTCAATAACAGCCATCATTAGCCTAAAGACATACGATAAGAGTTGTCTAATTTATTAGCTACATATTTATTGTTAATGAAAAAAGTTTAAAGACTTGCCTGCAGTTTCGCTGGCTTAGGTGACTCTGGCTGTGGACAAAGACAATCAAGTGTAACTTGTTACATCACATCAGTGTTAAACCCATTCATATCTTAAAGTTATAATCTTTAGCATGTAAGAATAAGCGATATTAAACAAAGAAATACTCACAGGAACGTTGTGGTCTTTTTTCCCCTTGTGGGAGGAGGCAACATGTGCCAGGTACTGAATGACCTTTTTTGTATTTTCAGTTTTGCCAGCTCCTGACTCACCTCTGTGACACAATACACATGACAAACATCATCAGAGATACTTCTGTTTTTTATTTTTATTTTTTCAAATAGACCCTATGGATGTAGACAAAACAGAGAACTATCTTTACTTACTGTTAGACAAAGTGAACAAAGCTTTTATCACGCAACAAGAGAATGTAAATGCGACATATTTCTGTCGGGTTTGGCCCATTTTTGCCGTCACAAAGTGACCGTGGCATTGAAAAACAAAGAATAAAATCATCAAGTCTTCCAAACCACGCAAAATCCTCCAGCGGAGCAGTTTAGATTTAGAGCATAGCTGAGGTTTTACACTAAGTGCATATTGACATACACCAACTATGCACAAAATATTGTTTTCCTTTCAGACAGGGAGATTTAACAGGAAAGACGGGGGAGCAGTGTGTGTACAGGCCGTCAGCCTCACTTCTTACTACACATGGAGGACTATCACGGAGGGGTTGCGTCAATGTCTCTGTTGTTGGCCTTGGACTGCTATGTTTAACATTCTTCAGCTGCTCCATCTCAGAAGATTAACCGTCAAAACGATGAGTGCTGACTTGATCACTTCTGGTGAGACTTCTGCACTGGAACCATACTTGTGTTTCCCCACCAGTTTGTTTGAAGAGTAAATACGCTGCCATCCCACAGGCACCATATTTCACACCTCTGTTTTCAAGTGATGAAAGTCTGCACAGTGTCACTGGGAACCACATTTTTATAATAACTGCTAACGTTTCACACACAAAAATGCTACATGGGAGCAAAGTGTAGCGGCTTGTGCTACACTAAACAGAAGACAGATGTTTGTGAGGCCAAAACAGCCGTTAACCTCATGGGAGGACTCATTTACAATAAAAGTGAATTTATAAAACAAATTTAAAAACTCACGTGCAAAGAATTGATTGGTCCTCTCGATCTGCGGGCGTAAAAGAGGAAAAACAAAGATTTAACAATAACATATCTAACTTTCTTATTTGACTATAAACAGCAAAAAACACTATACACAAACACACTTTTGCAATGACGGAATTAATACTACAAGAAGTTTAGCAATTAAAATATCAATGATACAATATCAAAATGGATCTTACTGTATGAGCTCTACATCAAGAGACTCATGGTAACATCAAGAGTATTCATGTCGAAATGTACGAGAAATATTTTATTGGTTGGTAAACTAACTCTCACTGTCATTTTTATATTGTGTGTAGAATATTATTAATACACGAAACAAAAACCTTCTTCTTGATAAAGTTAGTAAAAAATACATACATTCAATATGGATCTCTTGCACAAAGAGACATGTTTTGTTCAATCGCCTCTGAGAAGAGGTTACATATAAACTGTGCACATTGATGTCATGTGGTAATCCATCCTGTCGCTGTAACACTCTGGGAAATGGCAGTGATGCATCTTGTGAGCATGTAATGAGGCAGATCACAGTCATCCACAGGATCTATAGGGGATAATAATGATGTCATCGGAAAACACTACTTAAAGCCCTGGAGGGGCTGAGCCTTTGTCTGGTCACATGGCTGAATGGTCATCAAAAAAAGAGACCAAACACTAGAACAAGGTCAGAGTCGGGTTGACAGTAACTGAATTCTGAATGTAAGGATTTCTAGTGATAATAAAGATCAATTTAAAACAGGTATCTATTAAAAATATGTACTAAGATGAATAAGGAGGATTATTTTATGTTTAATAAATTAAGGATCTACACCAGTTACAGATAATTAAACGCGTGCTTATAGATATGTTTTTCACTTGTTTTATACTCAAAAATAGCATAAGATCTAGTCCTGCTTATAGATACAGGAATGCACACAGTTTAGTGGATTTGTATATTGCAGCGACACTCCTCATTTTCAGACACTTTGTTAATATTTGTATGGACATGTAACCGCCTATATTTTAATTTCCATAACTGAATCTGGCAACAGTACAAAAGTCAAAACTTGTTTTTCACTTGTTTGATACTCAAAAATAGCATAAGATCTAGTCTTTTCATTTACTAAGAATCTAATAACAAGCTAAAATAAAAAAATCAATTTGTTCTTCAACTCCATCCCAGCTAAGACAGTTTCTCCTACAGTAAGTCCAGCTGATGGGCACGGGTCTGTTAAATCAGGAAACTGAGCTCACGGGCCATTAAAACAGTATCTGTACTGCAAAGTCTGCATGTTAGGTAATTGAATGATGGGCCACTCAGTGACCGGGGATTTGCAAGCTTGTACATTAGAAGATTGACCCCAGGAAAGGTCTATTAATATCTCAGACATTTGACATGTTTATAATTAAATATAGCCCTGTTATTGTCCAAAGTTGAATTATTCATTTTCTTTGGTTTATATAAACACTGTTGGTACATTGGTATGATTACATGATTTTTGGATATGTTTTGAGAAAATATTATAATTCAAATTGTGGATATAATAAATGCTCATTTAAAAGAATATATCTGGACCAGGAGATATAACATATGGAGCTTAATTATCTTCTTTGCAGTATCTCTGACTTTTTGTCAAGTTTTGTTAAGTTTTCCTAACTGACAACTGACCCCTTCTGTGAGCCCAGTTTTAAATTTGTCAGTGTATTTTCTACTTATTGTGTTCAGAGCACCACGGCTTGGCCAAAGGTGAGAGTTTCCTGGAATAAAGTGCTGACTTTGGTCCTTTGAGATTAAAATGATGGAAGTTGTGACTGATGACACAGCTGGATGACTCATTAGGAACAACCTGGTTTCCTGGCCTCCAACAGGCAGTTCCTGTGGTTAAGTAATGAAACAAGGGTGAATGACCCTGTCAATATACTGTACGTGGCTGCAGACACACACACAGACACACACACTTAAGCTATTTCGATCCTGGAAGATCTCTCCTGCCGTGACGTCAACAAATACTCAATGCACGACAGTAAACATGCAAACCCAAACTCCCATCAACCCCCACCTCTCTGACTCCGTTACACTGACATCCCTATCTGAACTCAGCACCGCTCAGAAGGCTAATGTCTTCTTTATCAGACCGTGTGCAGACACAGTGGAAAGATAGGACCCGCTCTTTGTTAAACTGCTCTTTCATTCTCCTAATGTAACTCACCAGGGCAGCTGCAGCCTTAAAATCCATTCCAGACTGTAAAATGCTGATGACAGGGGCTGCTATTTCTGTGACTTCAGTGAACTGGTCATGAGGACTGGTTTCTGAGCCACGTATGATTGGTAATGATTTTTCCAGCTCCACATGAGTTTGTTATGTCAGAAGTCGGTGAAGATTCCTCCAGGATGTATAATATTCGTGCATCAGTAACTGACGAGATTTAATATAATTTCACATCAAAATTTTCATTCCTGCATTCATCACAAAACATACAAAAAAGATAATTAAGGACAAAGTATGAAGAGATTGAAGAGAAAAAGAAAAAAGGAATGTCCTGCAGCTTTGACATCAACACAGGGAATGGTCTGATCTCAGACCAGGACAGTGAGCTCATTGTGAGGTTGTGACACATTGAGCTGGGGCCAGTGATTACCAAGAAGGCAAATGCATGTGTTAAGACTGGTGATAAGGTAATTTCCTTCTCTCTTCTTTTTGAATCCCTCAACATGGATTTAAGGCTCCACAGCCACATGTGGTTTCTACTAAAATGTTTAAGGAATAGCACAAGATTGTTGATCATGTCTGACTGATTTTAACTCATTGGCCAAGAGCACCACGTCCGTATTGTCAAACTACAGCTTAGTTTATAGCACTGCCGCTACAAACAATCGGGAAAGCACTCTTGTGTAAGGTAGGTAAAAAATGTAACTTAAGGCAAGTCAACAGAAAACTGACCTAACCTTGAATTGTAACCAGAAAAGACTCAAACGAAGAAATCGTTTCCTGTTTTCACTGTAACAAAAATCCTGCCTCACAACAACACTCTGTGACACATGTGACAGCTCCTCAAGCACGTCCAAACTTTTCAATGCTGTACAGTACATCACATCTGGTAACATGTCCAGTTCTCCCAGCACCTGCTTTTATTTTAGCAGGCATCAGCACTTTCTCTCTGCACATTTCCAGATATGATAAAATTAACTTCTGGTACGTCAGTGAGTTCATGATAGCAGAGCAGCCAGGGCAATTATGTAAAGCATCTGGATCTCAAATCAATGACAGATGTGCACCATGTTCTGGAGGTCTGTCTCCACACCCAGTCTTCTGTTAGGCAACACCTCATTTAACCTTCACACTTACACACACTGGCTTCGCAGCAGTGTTGCAGTAATTAACAGACCCCTGCAAGGTTCAGACACCTTTCAGCCACATGATCTGCTCATCTGTGCTGTTCCAAAGGCCATAAATTACATCTAATATTTGTAACAAATATTCCATTTGTTCACCTGGAATCGGACATTGCAAATCTAAACGAAGAAGGGTTAAAAGTAGGGATGCCCAATATTATTGGCAGACTGATATTATTGGACGATATTAACATAGTTATGTAATATCTGAAAAAATAGTTATCATTTTTTTTTCTTCCAATAATGAAAAACCTGATAACACAATGCCTGGGTTTCTCCAAATGATGTGTGCTCTAAAAACAGTTTTGGGGATAAACGGCTGTATATTAAAGTCAAAGTTACTAGATGGCAGCATTGCAGCTCATTTCATTAATTTATTTTAATAATCAGGGGATTGTATACAGAATGCTGGTGTCAGCAACACAATACAGTGATTTCAACATGTAAACAAATAAATATCACCAGGCCTATAACCGTATTGTTTGATATTGGAGACAGAAATGAAGTGTTTGAAAATGTCAGATACTGGCAAAAAAATTATATCGGACATCCTTAGTTAAAATAATTCTTATTAATGTGCAACAACAGTCATGAGATGTGTCACTTTATGTTTGAATTCTCCAGACATGCACTTTAGCACTGTTTTTTTATAGAGTTGTACGCAAAACTTGTGTGCGATGTCGTACCAAGGATCTGAAAGTCCAACAGCTTTGTATCTTCTTCAGTCTTGTAGTCTTCTCCAACAACCTACAAACCTTTGGACGGTTTAGTGACTAATCTGTGTACAACGTCTAACGAGGATGCTTTCTAATGCCTTGAACTAACATCAACAGCTTTAATCTATATACAGCTGGATGATTATTTCTATTAACCAGGTTAGTAAATGCTCAGGGCCACAGCCAAGCAGCAGCTGGCCACTGATAATCTCCAACCTACAAACCTCCTTTTCAACCACATCCCTGTTAATTCTTATGAGACACCAATTGAAGTGGAGCAGAAATGAATTAAAAGCCACACGGCAGTTAGGAGATCTGAGAAATTGAAAAATATGGCATGAAGTGGTAGAAGGAAGGCTGTGATTTTGACCATATCACAACCAGAATATCATCAGTCTACACACTGAGGTGCTAACACTTCCTTCTGTGGACCAACATGGAAAATATCTCAAGTCTACAAGGACTGACAGGACTGTCCAGCTTGTCACCACCCCCACTGGTCGGCCCTTGCAAGGACACAAAGGATCTATTGTTGAGTGCAATGGGGTCACCCTCTCAGTTCTTATGGGTCTGATCCCAATCAGTCACTGGCCTTGGAATTAGGAAAACTGCAAAGCTACTAGTCAAGTGTCTCTGAAGACATCATCGAGAGCAGACTTTACTCACATATAAGAAATTTATATCACATCAACAATAGAAGTCACAGAGCGACAACAACAACAACCTCTGGACCACTGACTTCATTTAGACAAATGTGTTCACAGATTAGAGCCTGTGTGAACGTGAGGCATACAACTCTCGACTATTTTTAACACAAGACAGTTATATTTAGACATGAAGTTAGACTCAGAAAGTTTAATGTAATCAGAAAGTTACAAAAACCACAACCAGGAAAATGTTGATTTTCAACTGACCAAGTTCAAATAGTAAGACAGCAAAGAGTTTTCCGACACAGATGCAGTCAACAACACTGACATTCAGTGATTTATTTTTATTTTAGTCAGTGCCTACTCCTGTGTGTCCAGTGATAACAGTAGGACTTACCTTGAAGCATGCACCTGTATGCAGACTCTGAAATGGCGTAGATGTGAGGAGGCATTTCGTGCCTTTTTTTGCCCCTGTACATCTCGATGATGTTCTCTGAGTAGATGGGCAGGTTTTTGTAAGGATTTATGACGACACAGAAGAGACCAGAGTATGTCTGCAGGAGGAAAAGAAAACCAAAGTATGTGTTAATTTGTCATAATGTGAACTTCGGCATTACATTATGGTGATCTATTATTGAAATGCATTGATTATAAAATGATTCAATGGACAGTGAATAGGCACAAAAGGAATGGACATCGATGCTGTATAAACACTGAAACAAAAGTATTGATCATATTACTGGAATATTTTACTTACATCACTGCATATTTAAATAGTTTTCATATTGTTTACTTCATTTTACTCAAAAAACAGTTTCTTGTGATTAAGAAAACATAGTAAACATGCTGTCATAAAACATAGGACAAGATTAACCTCCATCAACTGGAGGAGGATGACGTTACATGATCACAGCTGAGGTTTAAACCTTATGAGTTGTCTGCATATTAACACATGAATGACTGGATCATAAAAATGCATGCAAGTACTAATACTAATACAAAACAAACAATTTCAATAAAGTGACTTTTGAAATATTTTTTTATTACATGTCCTTTATTCTTTAATTATTCTTTTCTCAAGCCTATAAGATATGGCACTACAATAACACATTAATATTATTAGTTGTGCAGGTTGTGTGATGATGGTGATGATGTGTAAAGAAGGTCAAAGGCAGATCTCCAGATGGTCATCAAACCCCCTCCCAATCTCTTTCCCGTGCAAAGATTCTTTACAAGCTCTGGCCTAAAATAATCTTGATTACCCAGTAGTATTTACAAATTAACGTCTGACAAAGTGGCACTACTGATTGGTACTGACATCAGTAAGGCCAATGCTCTAACATCCCTGCACTCCTACAGTGGGCACAGAGCCAGGCAGACAGATCAGTGCTCCTGACCCAGCATCGGTCACATTCAGAGGGACAAAGAAATGACTCAGCTGGCTGCACCCGTCAGCAGACCCCAGGAGGTAAACTAGGGATTACTGGTTCTTCTAAAGACAAGAGGATGGACGGCTTACCTTTATTGACTAGTTTATTTCATGTGACTATATTTATAGTTTTTTCTGTGTATAAAATACTCTACATGTTGCTGTACTTTCTGCGTATAAAATACTCTACATGTTGCTGTACTTCTGGAAAGTCCAACAGCTGAGTGAAGACTGCTCCAGCTAAGGACTCAGTGGAGACTAATCCATGTGTGGAAAATAATGACCCTTGGTCTGTTGTGTATAATTTGAGCCACATTACTTCTGATGTTGTAATCTGGGTATAAACCATGAGGGAAGAAAAAATATATAGCCTTAATAAAGCCTCAATTTAAGATTAACAACAAAAGACGTTACCATTTACGTGAAGCTCATCGGTCTCGTTTTATTCAGATGTAAAATCTGGAACAGGATAAATCTAGACTAAATGGACCACAAGAATATCATCTTAATGACACATGATAGTTCAGGGCTACACAGCTGCCCCCAGATCCTGAACTCCTCTTCGAATCGTGTTTTCACTTCTACTGCTAGGCAAGAGTCGTGCGTTTGGTTTTCCATTCAACAATTTTCCGACCACATTTAGCCCTCAAAATTGATGGTTAATAAACTGTGAGGAATTACTGTGAAGATAAACTGCTGTGCCTCAGTCCCGCTCTCCTGACAAAGCAGAGGAACGTTAAGTACAGAGAGTGGAAAGGTTTGGAGATCATCCATGAAGCTGACAAAAGAGACTCGATCAAGGCAAAACTAAATCAGCTGCAGATTTATGAAGGAATATCTTCCAGCAGGTTTTATAGTGACACAGTGATGCAAACAGCTTCAAAAAAACGATAAAATAAAAAATATCATCACCTGCATGTGAACAACTCACACTGCTGCACTTCAAGTTACTTATGTAACTAGTCTTGGTACAAGTTGATGACCAGAGTGACTAGAGCAGTGTTTAAATTTGTACAACATACTCATCCAAACCTCTCTAACCCTTATGTAACAGACCATTCCTGCACCAACATGTGCATTGACACAATTGGCTATTTACTGTATCTATGTTGCAGCAAGAGAGAGTTAGAGTATAAGAGTGAGTCTGCTACCAATTCTTATTTTAGGATACAGAATATGTGCATAATATAACATCCAAACAAAATATACCATCCAGCTTCTTAATGGCTGGGAAACAAAAGCTTTCATCAACCACCATCATCACTCATCTTCAGATGAATCCATATTCAGGGTCACTTGGGCTGGTGCCCATCCCAGCAGTGAATAGGTGAAAACAGGATGCACAGTTCACCAGTCCATCACAGGGCCACATACAGAGTCAAATAGCCATTCACTCTATGGTTTCACATTCACATTCACATTAAATCTTCAGTCATTTCTGAGTGAACAATTAGCCAAATCCTACATGACTGCAGGAAAAAGGTAGAGCATATATAGACAGAAAAGATAGTAACTCCACATAGGAATACTTTCAGTTAACCCCGGACTAACCTGAGACCTTCGTCTTGGAAGACAAGATTACTAACTACTTTTCAACCCACGTAAGTCACAAATATAATAATTATTAGCAAGGTGTTATATTTCTCAGGGACAACAGATCATAAAATTGATTAAAAATGCATTAAAGCTTTGGACAAATGAAATTAAGTTTGGTTTTAGCACAAGGTCTTCAGTGATGGGAGTTATAATACAGGACATGTTAAGTTATGCAGACTATGTTGCACTGACTTTAAAGGTCACATAATCCACAGAAGCAGAGCTTGAAAACATGCAGAGTCAGGAATGCAAAGGCAGCTGATCTGAATTTTTGGTTTGTTCACGTTAAAATGACACAATCTGTTTCTGATCTTACCATATGAGAATTGAGAAAATTTTTAACTAGAGTAGATCAAATAATGACTTGTCTATTCTGCAGAGCATTAACAACTAAAACTCTTCAGTGTCAAGGTCAAGAGGTAGAAATGGTTGTCAAATTATTCTGACACAGACTTTTTGTTCTGTTTCTATGTACAGCGTTACAACAAGACAAAGATCACATGTCCAAGGTCATACTGCTTCACCTGGTCAGGTTCTGATGTCATCTTTAAAGCTGTAGTTGAGTAGAGAGCAAATGCCGTTATTAAAATACTTACATAAACAAAGTAGAGCAATGCCGTTATTAAAATACTTACATAAATGAGGCCAGAATAGTAGCGGTCTTTGAGGTTATAAAGCACAGATGCCTCGTTGAGGCAGGTGAGTTCTGCCATGTCCTCCACTTTACTGAACTTTGGCGGGTTCATCTTCTGGATGTCATCCTTGTTGACCATGGCCTTCTTCCCATTCTCAGCCAACTCCACCACCACCTCATCTCCACGCTCCTCTCGAACACTGGCCGCCTCAAAACCATGGCGTTCTGATGGGACCCACACCAGCCTTTTGGCTGTCCAGTCAGCCTGGGCTGCCGGATTGTAGACCACAGCGCGGTCTACAAAGAGGTACCGCTCTGGGTCCTCCTGCCCACTCCTCTGTGACATTGCCGCTGGGAACCAGAAGCAGAAAATACTTGGCCAACTGTAGGAGAAAAAAAAGGAAAAAAGACTTAATGACAGTTTTATATGTCATTAGCTAGGGCTTTAGCTAGGATTTGCTACATAAATAAAACAAGAGTATCTTTCCTTATGCAACAGTAGACCCACGCAGTATGAATGTCAACCCTTACACCTACATTCCTGTGAATAATCCTCCCACATGTACAATCATCTCGATCTCTATCAAACATCTTCACAGCTTCAACAATGTTAGAAAGAAAGGAAAGTCAGAATTGTAAAATCGAATCAGTGCACCTCTACATATTTCATCAACAAACCACAGATTTACATATTCTGGCTGAGGCCAAGACTGCTTCAACAAAACAAGAACAGAAAGTATTGATTATGAAAATGTATGGCCTTGCTGCAGCCCGCATCCCCACTTTTAGGAACCTTAAGATTAAGCTAATCCCCGATCTGAAGGTTTCGCAACTGGGGGAGAAAAGCAGGATATCCAGAGATAACACAGGTACAAAAAAAAACATGCAAACTTCACACAAAAGACCAGGGGTTACAGCTGATGACGTTCTTGCTGTAATGCAGGAGTACTAACCAGCCTTCCACTGTGTGGCACATTATTTGTGAAATTTTGAAAAACATTCAGAAATTGAAAAAATACATTTTTGTTTCTTTCTAACAAAACCACAAATGTGCAGCTTCTGCACTGCAGCAACATTTTCATGGGGTTACTGATGCAGTGGCAGCATGAGAAGAAAAAAGAACTAAAACCTTAAACACAGACAGCTGTGCTTTTAATCTGATTTACAAACTGGCCAACTGTAGTCCAAAAGGAACATTTTGGTTCACATTAAGATTTGGCCAATACTTTAGGGGAATCCTCTCAAACCAAATGGTGAAGTGTGAGTCATTGGCTAGTAATTTATTCAAAGTGAATGATTTTCTCGTACTATTAAAGAAAGAACACATCCAAGACACGAGTCTGAACACCACAGATGAATCCAGCACCAGACACAAAGGAATAACTTTGTGAAACACGACACTTAACTAAACAATAGACAGGACAATAGGAATAACAACAGTTTCATTTTAATGTAACGGGAATAATAATAATAAAACCATCAGATACGTTAAACCTACAGTCAGGTCTCACGCTGTAATCAGCTGCTGGCTGGACGTAAAAGTGGGTCAGGTCATGGGAAGGAAGAATCAGTCTTGTCACTACATCCCTCTCACGCTGAGCTGACTTTATCCTCTAAATAAATATAGACCACGGTCAGCGCCTTCATTTCTGTATCTTAAATATTCACTGTGAAATTCAACAGTTCAGGTCCAGGTGATTAAACAGGCCAAATAGCTGCATGGGCTACTTTAGCCTGCTAACGTTAGCTCAAAGTTGGCGTGCTGAGCCCCACATCACACCCGCTCCAACAGATGCCTGTCTGGACCAGCACCTAGCACAAAACTGAACACGAATTCAAGTCAAAATTCGTTTCTTAAAGTAAAAAAAGTACACGATAAACATATGGTCTATAAATAAATAATAAAATAAAATTTAAATTATAATGAGTGTGTTTTAAAAATGAAGTGAGCAGCAGCAGCAGCCTCTCATCATGGGGTTGGGTGGCTCAAAGACGTCTGTGTTGGGATACAAGTAAGGGGGTATCAACACAAGGCTTCGGAACAGCTTTTTAAAATAAATAAATTACACATAATCACTGGGGAAGATATTACACCTTAAATCTCTAAGTATGACTGTGTGGAGGGCAGTGGAGTGGTGCTGCGGCTCGGGCTAACAGAAGGCTAACGTGTCGCTCCTCCATCATTGAAAAGTCACAGCACAATAATCCGTTAGCCGCTGCTGCTAACTACCACATCACCACCAACACACCGGCCCGGATTCTTTCTGTCAAACTCACCGCACTCAGTGGTTGACGGAAGTCTTTCCAGTTGTTCAACAGAATCCCGCAAATATATGTTGTCGTGCTGAATGAGAACCTCCTGTGGCCCACTCTCATCAGTGGTACTCCCACACCATTCAACACACTCTCAACCAAACTCCAGACCGGCCAGGCAGGCACAGAGGATGGATCCACAGCCGCACCGCCGCACTTGGATGGGTGGGAGAGACACACACCCACTCCATAAATCTGAAATCTTATTGGTTATGAGAGAAGAAACATCAGGATGCGGGCCAATAGACGAAGTGGAAACATGAAGGGGGCGGGGTTAAATGTCAGGACGAGCCCCTGTATCCGAATCCAAGATTTCTAGCCGAAGATTTATCTGTCTTTGTATGTATGTACCTATGTACCTATGTATGTGTACTATTCAGTGTACTATTCAGTGTACTATTCAGTGTACTATTAGTAACAGCCAAGGTATGTTTTCCGTGTTAATAAATTTTACTGACCAAGATTTTCCTCGGTGTTTTATCAGTGCCCTCTGCTGCATGCGAACAGAACATGTATTGTTAAAGTAAAAAAATACTAAACACTACTACTGTACTACACTTGCTATGAATGTCAACACACTCAACATATTTGAACATACAACACAAAAAAGCTAAATGCTATTATCTTCACATTGCACTACTTAAATTTGGTCACAAGATGGACCTACTGTACAGACATGATGATCTTCAAGCGCATCAATAAGGATATAAATATTTATTTTGTCCTTGTCTAAAAAAGAAAACCACTTACATTTTTCCCAACAGCTGCAGATGTCATACAAAAGACCTGAAGGCATGTTACTTTAAATTAAAAAACTTTGCCTTATTCTAAGCAGTGTCCCCAAGGACCCAGATGTTATGAGAGTTTGGTTTCAGCTATAATTTTAATCAAAAGTGTGGGTGTGCTCCTACCATACCAATCAGACCAGGAACCTTTTTTCTGAGAAGCAATATTCACACTGGAGATGTTATGTTGCGTTTTAAAGTGTTTTTCAGTCAATCCCCTTTTCACATTATATTAGTCTCAAAATTAGTTTGTTTAATTATGTTTAAACTGATACATTATGCATTTACAGGAATAAGGGTTGCGTCTCACTGAGATTTATTTTATTTTATAACAAAAAGGCAAAATTCAAGCAATTTCTGTTCCGACAGCCTTGTGTGCTGTGTACTGCAACAGACAGTAGAGGGCAGCAACAGTGTTCAGGACAGTTGATATGGCAAGTCGAGGTCCCGATTGACATGCATTAAAGTGCATGATGATACACTGTTTGGATGTGCTGAAGTGTAACGGATAATTGCACTTGTGTGGCCAATGCTGTCTGATGGTTAAATATAGAATAAAAAAAAACTGTGTCAGTAAAGACAGAGTTATTACAGTTGTCATCTGTAATAACACCCTTCAAAACAGAGATTTTCCCTCCCAAGATAATCTAGTATCGATTTTTCCTTCTGTATTTGCTGTTTTTTTTATGTGTCTTTTTATCAACATCTCCTCATGTGAACCTGCTTCTATCAGAACTTCATCTGACACACTGAAAGCTGACATAGCTTGACTAACAGATGCAAAATGTCAAAGATATTATTATATCTGTTATTTTATCTTCTCGCCATGAGTGGCCGATAGTTATTTTATCTTCTCGCCATGAGTGGCAGAGTGACAACCTTCGGTGTGGGGCAGAGTTTTTTTTACCCCAAAAATGCCGTGACAACCCCATCTCTCCAGTCTCCTCTGTGGCATAATAGACCTGTCACCAGCCTGGTCCTCTACAATTCTTCTCCTGCTTTTGTCTAGACAGCAGTTTATCAAACAACTCCATCTGGAGGGGCAGGAAACAGAGACGGAACGTCAAGTGTAGTGTTTTTCAATAGCAATAGCTGATGAGCTAGCGATAAATGTCTGACCTCTTTGGGCATTGTCATTTCAGCAAACATTCAGACCCATGATGATCTCTTTTCAGCACTCCAGGCGTTGCGACAATCTCCATCTCATTAGGTGATATTGTCTATTTTTCACTTTGAAAGATGAAGGCAATTTTGCACAGTAAATATGAAATTGATTTCCCAGATTTCAAAAGAGATTATCTTCTTTGGGATTATAATTTATTGTGATTTTGTTTTCCATTTATCCACAATGTTGCTGTCATTTTTATTTGTCAAAAATATTTTGAGACACACAGATACTGAATAACTCTGAAATGACAATTATTCACAAATGACAAAATGTATTCTCTACAGGACGTTTTACTTAAGATTCAAAACATGTTGACAATTTTGAAATAGTTTGACCCTGTCCACGTGTTCCAAAAACAAAACAAAAATGGAAAAATAGAAACTGAGCTTTTTGCCCAACAGTGTATCACCCTACGCTGGAGGGTAAAGTATTTGATAATGGTTTACTAAAAAGAATTATAACAAACATATTTTGTTCACACAGCAGCTACTACACTGTTGTTAAAGACGAGCGTCTTTATTTCTTCCCTGCCTCAGGACCCTCTCAGTCAGGTTTTTGTATCTGGAAAAATGTTCTTTGTCCTCTCCCAGCAGTTTGTCGATACTAAATTTGGAACAAACATTCTGATCTCTCAGCTTTTTAACTTTGTTCTTGACAATTGAAGAGTCTGTCTACTCTGTAAGATTGTTGTATAATCCAACAACATGTGGAAATGTGTCCCTTAACAACAGGCCAGATTTCACCAGTGACCAACTGAATATCACACGAGCCTTGCTGTGACATCACTACAGTACCACCTATGTTATCTGTTTCCCACTGTTAAATATTTCCACCCACACGTGACTAAATAACAGTGTAAGAGATTAATTAGATAGACTATTTATATTAATATATTTTGTTGGACGCCAGGCATGAAGTACCTTGAGTCTCCACCGGGTTACCCAATAATTCTTTGTATTATTTTAAGACTAATAAGAGGCTAAAATAAAACCAAAAACTATGTAAATATAAGTTTCACTTGTGATTGATGCGGTGATGATTTAAAACCCAAACGGAACTTGTGTAGAAACTGTTTGTGACCCCTCGCACTGAACAATTAGTCATGTCACTATCTCACAATACATTTTGTTTTTATACCATCCATTCAAGGTGATGTTGACAGGTTATTATTATGTTTATCTGCGATGCCTGAGGGAAATGTTAACAAAGGCAGACACTTATTATTGGTATGTATAAAACTTCAATGTTTTTTCTTTGGGTTTTTTTCACAGCCTTTAGGGAAAGCTGAACATTTTGTTCTAATAAGATTGATACAGAATCCATGAGATAATGAAAACTGTCAGAGCCATTAATAAAACAAATTAAACTGAGAGTAAAAAGAAAATCAGCATGACAGAGATGAAGCTGCTCTTTTGTTAATCAAGAATAATACTTTTACTTTACTTTTTTTAGGTGGCAAGGTTTACTGTTCCATGTTTGATAAACAGCAACGTCAATCTCTCTAGATCTGTTCAAGCTGGAGGTTCCTGCAACATCAGTTTAGACCTGTGTTACTGGGAGAAAAGATGAGACAGAAGCTGTCAATTTTCCAATGTGTTGCATCAATACAAGTGGTTATTACATCTCTCCGACCAGAGAGGACCAACTCTATCTCTCAGAAAATAGTGTGAGGGTGAGTGTTGTAATTATAGCCACTGACAAGCCTGAGGGCAGGGTGGTAGATGAAATGATGGGGCTCACACTGGAGCCATGTGAAATATGAAATCCCTGCAACTAAGAAGGAAGAGCAAATCTGAGCTAAATGTCCTCTTCTCTCATGTCAAATGAAAAAAAAATCCACAAAATTGATTCCAAAAATTCCAAATGGTTCTTAGATTAGAGGCCATTTGTTTTTAAATCAAGTTAATGTAATTGTTTGTAGATACACCTGAAAAAGATAAAAACGTAGATCCGCAAGATTTCATTAAACATACTCTTCATTCCGGTAGTTTATTAACCATTACAAAACTCTATTTCCAGGCACTTTCTGTGTTGAAAAAAATCCATCCACTCATCCATCCATCCATCCATCCATCCATCTATCCATCCATCCATCTAGTTATCTAGTAAGTACTCAGTTTATCCGTCTATATGAATTGCTAAGTACATGCATTTATTATTGGAGAAGTATCAGCTTTTTGTCACTTTAACAGGGTTTGCCACTGTGGTTGTCCACATAATGCATGGGCGTATTTCGTGAGTGAGGCTCAGTTGTATAGAACCCACAACCTTTATTGATTCCACACTGGGGAAATCGCCACTCAAAAATACTTCAGAAATACTTATATAACATAAGAATCAAACCTGACACACGGTCTAGAAACTTCTGTTTGGTGTTCCCAACTTCATGCTGACACAGCATAGTTTATAGTGTCAAATTATTAAATGTGTTAGTAGGATGATACACACTGCTGAAGACAAAGGCCTGTGATTTTGACCTGCTTTCAGCCTTCGGCTTTAGTATCTGCTCAGTGTTTGGGTTTTCACGGCCATAACTGTACATATCTGTTCACATTGTTCTCATCAGCTTTGTTTCCAACAGCACGCAGCAGTCTACTACAAAAGAGATCTGGTAAATGTGGGCTGCTGCGAACTAAACAGCAGGTAGACAGAGACGGAGTGTTGAACATATAATAGAGCATTGAACAAACAAAGATGCAGACTTTCCCCAAGGTGTATTCATGATAAAGAACCATGGATGGATGGACAGATGGATGGATGGATGGACGGACAGATGGATGGATGATGGATATCTCTCTCTCTCCTCCCCAATCGTCATTGAACCACCTGATCAATGCAGTTGTAAGGTGGGATAATTTAAAAGAGAAAAATAAAAAATATTATTTATTTACAGTATTATTTAGGGTTTGTTGAGTAGTGAGAGTCCTAACTGTCCATGGGGAGATGGCTTTTCTATGGACAGATGTAGACGATGTACCAACAATAGGGTTGTCTACCACCAGGTTAGATTAAATATCCCTCCCTCTCTCTCTCTCTCTCTCTCTCTCTCCTCCCCACTCTCTCCTCTCCAGGTCCTAACAGCACACAGCCCGCATCCTCCAAACGTCTCCTCTCTTCCAGCAGAGCGAGAGGATCAGAGAGAAGGAGAGCAGTAGTGACAGAGGAGCCACGTTGACTCTGAGCATCTCCCTCACAGAGGTGGAGAGGGGCAGAGAGGGAGAGAAAGGGAGAATGGAAGAGTGAGGATACAAAAAAGGAGAAGGGAACAGAACAGAGAGATAAGTTTTTAAGTTGAGGACGACAAGTGACTAAGATCTTGGGAGTTGGAGAACATCATTTTTATTTTTTTTGTCTTTGTGGATTCTGAGCGCTGCCCGTCTGTACTCTTCTCCCCCGCCCTCCCCACTGCTCCTAATCTCCCTGTTGTTTGCACCTCTTCTCACCCTGAGTAGCCTCACCCAGCTCCCGCCGTGGGGTCTCAGCTTTCCGTCACTCTCCCCCCCTCCCTTACTCCCTACCTTCCCCGGGCCCTGCTGGGATCCTCTGGGCTGCTTCGCCGCAGGAGGATGTCTCGCCGGGAGTCACCCCCACCGCCCTCTCCACCTCCACCACCTCCACAGCTACTGGGAGTTCAAAGAGGAGAGGTGGAGAGCGACGACCGTCCGGAGCGAGCTGAGCCCCTGTCAGATGCTGAGAGGGAGATCATCCAGGACACATGGGGTCAGGTCTACAAGAACTGCGAGGATGTGGGAGTGTCTGTGCTCATAAGGTGAGTTCTGTGGTTTTTGACAACTCTCTGAAAAACCACATATTGTGTAATGGAATGCTCCTATAATGCAGGAATGTCAAACGTATTTTCACCAATGGTCACATCAGCATTAGAGCTGCCCTTGAAGGACTGTTTATTATTATTATTATTATTATTATTATTATTATTATTATTATTATTATTATTATTATTATTATTATTATGTATCCAAAGTACATCTGTGTTTTTAAGCCTTGAAATTTCCTGGATAAAGAACTTTTCCTACACCTTTTTAAGGAACAATTGACCAATGTGCTGTTGTATAAATGGTAGAGAGTTTCTCAGGTCTCAATTGCACAAAATAAAGGGCTACACACCGCCCAGTAGAGGGAGCACTTTATATTTAACGAATTAGAGGCAATACATATGATTGCAATAACATAAAGAAAAAAAATCATTGCTACATACACATGACTAATTTTTACAATCAGCTAAGAATAAGGTCGACAAGATGAAGCGTCAAAGAATTCCTTAATGTTTATCAAAAATGTGGCATATTAAAAGTTTTATCTCGGCTCGGACGTGTCTTTAATGAAGTGCTGTCTTATATCTAGATGAAAAATGTAAGGTATGCAGGATTTCATTAATGAAAAGGCATTCCCACCGTATGTACATTAATTCATATTTTTAGCACCCGCTGCAGGGAAGGAGAAATTAGCTCTTTGAACCCACACCATGAAGACCCTATGCTTGTTGAGCTGTTTCATGGATATAAAACACATTTTCACCCATCACAACCAGCAGCCTTTACAATCATGCTCCTTTATAACCTCAGGTATTGTGTTAATACCAGCACGCTCTGACTCTATTTTTGTTAAAGCAACAAAAATCTTATGTAGACATTTATAGAAAATGGTTTAATTCGATGACAGGTTACGCCACTATTTTCATCTGTAACATCAAACGCAGACTTGACTCGGTGGTGCTTAC